TAAAGGGCAAACCTATCCGCCAATTAGGTTGTGGTGTTCAGACGAACTTCACCAACAGTACTCTACATCATCTCAGAGTCGGCAAAAATTTTAAAAGGTAAACGTCCATATCCTAACTATAGATTCCGTTGCGTTAGGATTTATTTCAATAAAGTTCAATACTGTGCATGTTGTTTGACGTTCCTAACAGAACCCAACATTGTACAATGAGACGGTGTATGAAGCGGTGATTAAGGGGTTGCAGTTAGCTCTGGCGGGAGGTGCTCGAAAAATTCAAGTCCATTCCGATTCCCAGTTGGTGGTTGGAAAGTTCCGAGAAGGTTTTAAGATCAAAGAAGATACGCTGTAGCGATATGTGGGTGATATGAGGAGGATGAAGGAAGAGTTTGGGTCGTTTGAATTAATACAAATACCGAGAGGGGAAAATGGTCGTGCCGATTTGTTATCTAAAATTGCTCAAAACCTGGTAGATTGCAAAAGCAGGAGTGTGACTTTGCTCCATATGGAGAAGAGTGCGGTCGAAGCTGAGGTTGCGAACATTGAAGAAGTAGAAGATTGGAGATCCTCGATCTTGACGGAGCTAAGGGGAGGATGGTAAAGGTGGTGAGAAGGTTCTTCAAGCATGGTGGGATTCTTTATAAACAATCATACACGGGGCCACATATGAGGTGTGTGACCAAGGAAGAAGGTCGGTATGTCCTCAGGGAAGTGCATGAGGGGTGTTGCAGCGATCACAGTAAGGCGGGGGCCATGGTCACTAAGATCTTAAGAGCAGGAAATTTTTTGGCCAACAATAAAGGTTGATGCTAAAGAGATGGCGAAGAGATGCTTGCAATGTCAGAAGCATGGCCCACTCATCCACCAATCTGCAGAGACAATGACCCCAGTGAGTGCCCCAATTCCATTCGCTCAGTGGGGGATCGACCTGGTAGGGCTAATGCCGCAGGCAATATGACAGTGGAAGTTCTTGATCGTGGCGGTCGATTATTTCACTAAATGGGTAGAGGTCGAACCACTAGCCAAGAAAACAGAGGAGAAGGTGATCCAATTCCTATACAACAACATTTCCTGCAGATTTGGAGTCCCTAAAGTCCTGATATCTGACAATAGGACGCAATTCAATGGAAAGTGAATAAGGGGTTGGTGTGAAGACATGAAAATTGAGCAACACTTTGCTTCCGTCGCCCATCCGCAAGCCAACGGACAATTTGAAGTGACCAATAGAATTATTCTGAATGGGTTGAAGACCAGGATCGAAAAAGCATTGGGAGCATGGGTCAATGAGTTAACTTCTGTGCTTTCGGCGTACCGGACCACCCCAAGGTCGACAACAAGAGAGATGCCCTTTAGCCTGGTCTATGGAATGGAAGCGCTCTTACCAGTCGAGGTGGAGTTGTAGTCGCAGAGATCGGTCACATACGACCAGGAGCAGAACGAAGAACTTATGATGGCTGCTCTGGATACGAGCGAGGAACTTAGAGAACAAGCTTCGACCAGAGTCGAAGCATACAAACAAAGGATGCGATCGGCCCACGATAGGAAAGTGAAGATACGCCGATTCCAGGTGGGTGATCTAGTCTGGAAGAGGATTGACGTGCTCAAGCACGTAGGCAAGTTGGAGCCTAATTGGGAGGGACCATACCTGGTCGAAAAAGTCCATGCAGGAGGAGCATACTCCTTGAAGGACGCGGAAGGCAGATCACTAGCCAGGACATGGAATGTAGCCAATCTTAAAAAGTACTATGTGTGAAATTTTTTCTTTTCATGCTCGATCAATTAGACCGATTTAATCCCAAATCAAAATTCCTTCAAGAATTATCAAAGTGGTCGATTTCTGTGTTGATGGATTCATTTTATAGTTGGTATTAACTTCCTACAATGCGTTATTTACAAGTTTGATTTGGCTCACTTGACGATATGGTCATAACTCACATGGAAATGTTAAAATGGATTTGCCAACGTTCTGTATGGTTTCATGGACTATTAATTTGATGCTTATAATACACACCAATCACTCACACTATTTTTTTAGAAGTTCTAGTATGATACATATGGAATCGCAAATGCAATCCCGACTCGATAGTGCTCGTAGAAGAAGAAGAAAAAAGTCCTTCGCTTTTGGAACATCACGATCGAGGGGTGGGCGAAGGTCGCTTGTTTTCGGAAGATTCCTTGGGGTGAGCATGTGGTCGACAATGTCCACGCCTCTAGACTGGAAGACCACGATGTTTTCGGAACATCCCTTGGGGTGGGCAAGTGAGAAGAAAAAAGTCCTTCGCTTTTAGAACATCCCGATCGAGAGGTGGGCGAAGGTCGCTTGTTTTCGGACATTCCTTGGGGTGGGCATGTGATCGACAACGTCCACGCCTCCGGGATGGACGACCACAATGTTTTCAAAACATCCTTTGGGGTGGGCAAGTGAGAAGAAAAAATTCCTTCGCATTTGGAACATCTCCGAGGGATGGGCGAAGGTCGCTTGTTTTCGGAACATTCCTTGGGGTGGGCATGTGGTCGACAACGTCCACGCCTTTGGGTTGGACAACCACAATATTTTCGGAACATCCCTTAGTGTGGGCAAGTGAGAAATAAAAAGTCCTTCGCTTTTGGAACATACCGATCGAGGGGTGGGTGAAGGTCGCTTGATTTCGGAACATTCCTTGGGGTGGGCATGTGGTCGACAACGTCCACGCCTCCAGGCTGGACGACCACAGTGTTTTCGGAACATCCCTTGGGGTGGGCAAGTGAGAAGAAAATAGTCATTCGCTTTTGGAACATCTCGATCGAGGGGTGGGCGAAGGTCGCTTGTTATCTGAACATTCCTTGGGATGGGCATGTGGTCGACAACGTCCACGCCCCCAGGCTGGACGACCACAATAATTTCAGAACATCCCTTGGGGTGGTCAAGTGAAAAGACCAAGTCCCTCGTTTTCAAAACATCCCGACCAAAGGGTGGGTGAGTGGTCGAAGTAAGGGCGAAAAAAAAAATAATAAGAGCATGAGGAGAAAAAGATTAAAAACCACCTCAATTAGATGGACAAAGGTCATGACCCAAGTCAAGGACCACTTGAAGCAAAAACAATGAAATTTATTAGGGATAAATCGAGCAGATCCAGGGATCATCCTGGTCAACATTGTGGAAATTGGGGTTTTATTCACGTCTTTTATAAAGCATGGAGTATCACAAAACGTATTGAGTAATCGAGAAAGCCCATAGTTTTATATCATCCAAATTTACGCTGGTCAAATCCACCTTGGGGGTAAAGGATGAAATAAGATTAGGATGGGATGAGGACTCACATATTCTCAGGATCGACCACATTATTTTGGTGAGAGATAAGGTTTAAAGTAAGCATGTGCAGGAACAACGTCAATTATCTTTTCGAAGCTCATGGCTCAATTTAAAAGACCAAAGTAAAGAGCACATACTCACAACAAAGTAAAGCAAACACCACGAGGAAAGGAAATCAATTTTTTATTGAGTAAATTCACAGTCACAACAGCTAAACATAAGAGTACATCAACAAAACGGAAAAAAATAAAATCATATAAGCCTTAAACTACTTAAGAAGGGAAAGCGATGGACTGAGCAGCCACAGCAGACTGTATAGTAGCGGCCGACAATGTTGCAGCAGCAGCGGTCGATTGTGCACTCGCGACCGATTGAGCCGCCCCGATCGATTGGGCAGTCACAGTGTACGCAGAAGCATCAACACCAGTCGACTGGCCATCGACGGTGGATGAGGAAGCAGTAGTAGTGGTTGACTGCATGGCGGTGGTCGACAGAATGGGGGCAGCAGCGGATTGAACAAGAGCTGAAGTGGAGGGACCAGAAGAAGAAAAAGGACCGCTGGTAGTCAAGGGCAGAGGAAGAATGTGGCCAGAGAGATGGACCATTGGAGTTTCACTAGGCTGAAGGGCGTCGAAATAATATTGCAAAGTCTTGTCCCTTGCCAAGGCTCGCTCCAGTGAATTCGACCACCAAGGGTGCTTAGCGGGAAGGCTGGGATCGCCCAAGAAATTCGACGGCGCCGACGGGATGGCATCCCAGGTTTTATCATGATTAAGTTCGCCCGTGAACCCCTGCTCAACAATTACCGCTCGACCTCTTCTGTACTATAAGTATAGAACCATCCCCATAGCTGAAGCCTATTTGAGGAAGGCTATCGAGCGGAGGTAATCATCGATCAACTGCTTCCGGTAAGCCTTGAGAAAGCTCTGGCCAAGCTGAGAGCCCCACAAAGCCCGCTGGGATTGCTTCACGGCAGCAATGGTAGAAGCTTCAACCTCTTTCTTCCTGTTGGCTATTTCCGCCTCAAGAATCTTATCTTTTTTTTTTTCATCTCGTCCTTGAGGCGGCACACTTCCTCATCGTCCTTCTTCACTTGCTCGGCTAGCTCGTGGCGTACCTTGAGCAGCTCCTGGTTCTCGACCTACAACTGCTCATACGCTGTGTCGAGACGCTTGTTATCACTTCGATCACAGGGAGTGGGTGACCAGAGATGTTCAAGGTCTCCTCAAGCACATGAGTGACAGAGACCACGGTCTGCACAAGAAACACAAGTTAAAAAACAAGCGGAGGTAGAAGGGGTCATAGATCAAAGATGGGGAGAGTATGGTCGCGGGTAAGCATACCTGAATTAAGGCGCGGGCAGCATATTCGCCTTGATCCCGGCGGTCGACTACTCGACGATGAGTATCCTCGAAGGGCAGGAGACCGTCAAGAGCGAGATGGCCATGCGGGGGTCGATCCCCACCAAGGAGGGAGAGAGAGAGAAACGACTATTGAAGGAGCGATCCCCCAGTAGACTTCTCTGCAGTATGGAAACGCTTGCTGGGAGACCGGGGGTGATCGACAGCCTGCCTGGAAGGCGAAGGGATAGACACCTCAGAACGAGGACATTTTTTGGAAACTTCACCTTCCTTAGTCGAGGGGCCAGGGTGACAGTCGGATGGCTTAGGAGGAGGAGAAGAGGACTTTTGTTTAGTCGAAGGGGGGACCCCGAACTTAGAAAGCACGCCTTTGGCCGAAGTCTCCTTGGTCGAAGAGGTGTGCCTAGCCTTATCAGCCCCGCCTCGAGGAGTTTGTGCTCCGGGATCCCTTCTCAGTGGATTTCTTGAAGTTGGGATTAGGAAAATATCCCTCTGCACGGATAAGATACATGTAATACAAAGCTCAGTTGAAAATGCTAGATGTGACAAATATAAAGGTATATAAATAGCAGTATCGACTCGAGCATCTGCTACTTATCTTATCATATAAAAGTTATACTAGACCAATAGAAATAAAACAACTATCTCATTTCTCTCTCCCTTTAACCAAAAGAATGAAGAAAAAAAAGAAGCAGCGGCCGCCAACCAAAAGAATGAAGGAAAAAAAATAGAAAAAATGAAGCAGCGGCCGAGTGGCAACCCAAGGTCACATTGTGACCTGGGTCGCCCAAATATCTTCTATTTTATTTTTTTTTTTATTTTTGTCTTTTTCTTAAAGACCTGGGATATTATATGCACAAGGCTAAACCGGTCTGCTCAGCCGGTCGAGAAGACAAGAAGCGGGAGGCCAGGACAAGAAGCGAGAGGATCGATCCTTCAGATAGTCGACCAAGCAGGTGGTCGACCAGACCATCGCACGACCTGATAAGCGATCGAGCAACCTGTCGCTCGACCAGATACATGATCGGGCAACCTATTCGACCTCAACAGGTCGATCGCTTCGAGGAACCAATAGTCGGCCTAGTCATGGGCGCGTGTATCGTGGACGCGTGTAAGAGCCCCTAACTGAACCTCAGGAGAATATTTACCCCATGTGTAGGGGGGCACGTGTAGACAATGTATTGGGTGATAGCGATAACCACTTCTGACAGATCCCAACGCCCCGCACCACCTCTGACATGTGCGCGGCGTGTCAGAGTACGGACGGGCAGCTTAGGCAGCCAGCTCAACTTATCTGGGCAGGTATCTCACCCCTATATAAAGGGGGTGAGCCTTTCTCCCTTAATACATTCTATTCATTACTCAACTCCAGTATACTCATACACATACTGACTTAAGCATCGGAGGCTCTTCACCGGACACAACCCCCAATGTGAGAGTTATTTGCAGGTTTCCGGCATTCTACCGGTGAGGACAAGAACCGATCTACTCCAAACCGGACCAGGACGCTTACGCTTGCATTATTGGCGCCGTCTGTGGGGAATTTTGTTCAAAAAGTTGTGTTTGAAGCTCAGTTATGGCGGATGGAATTCCCAAAAACTTGCAGTCAACGTTCGATGAAGCTTGGACGATGACCAGGCCGTTGGCGCACGGTCCTCCCCCGGGTTTTTCTGGCCCATCGCAGACACCGATCACTCCTACACCTATCCTTCAAGGTGTGGGAGTGACGACGGCGATTCCCTGAGGAGATGCCGGCTCCATTTGGGCCCAGGAGGCTCGCGCGGTAGCAGCGGCGGCGATGCCACCGCCACCGCCACCAAATCCAACACTGGGGCAGGGAGGAACGATGGCGCAAGGAGGAGTGCCACCACAGGCAGCTGTACAAGCCCCCTGTCAGCAAATGGTGGCGATGACCCGAGAGGAGATGCAGAGGATAGCGGCGGCTACGGCGGCGCAGGCGGTGCAGCAAGTTACGAGCCACACATCTCATGCCACCACTGCGCCGACCACGGTGGCCGGAAGCCAAGATGAAGATGTGTCCAGTTATGGAGAGGGGGAGGAGCTGGAAGAGATCGGGCGATGGAAAGTATGGCGGAGCAGTTGTGCCAGTTGCAAGACAAAGTGGAGGGGAAGCCAGAGACGAGAGCTCGAGGACATCCCTTTTCGAGGGAGATTCTCGCTGCTCCTTTGCCAAACAATTTCAAGAAGACCAACTTGGTGTATGATGGGTCGTCTGACCCGTCGAGGCATGTGAGGACCTTTTAAAATATGGTTGTGTTGCATGGATATTCTTATTCTGTTTGTTGCAGGGCATTTCTATCGACCTTGCGCGGTGGAACACTTGATTGGTTTCATCAACTACCCCCTGGGTCGATTGCGGATTTTGAGGACTTTACCGGCAAGCTTATCAATCAATATTTGAGCGCGGTGGTGCAGGAGAAGACGTATTTGACTCTGATGGTGATGAGGCAGGGGGAGAAGGAGTCATTGAGGAAGTATGTTGCTCGATAAAATCAGACGTGTTTAGAGGTGCACTAGGCTTCAGATGAGGTGAAGGCGGGAGGATTGATAAGGAGTCTTCGAGCAAGGCCTTGTCGAACTTCCCTGGCGAAGACCCCTGCTCGATCATATGAGGATGTTCTGAAGAGGTGCAGGAAGTACATTAATTTGGAGGAGATGGAGATGGAGTTTGCAAAGCTGGAAGGGGTGGCTCGACCAGAGCCAAAGAAGGAGAAAAGCCCGCAAAGGGGAAGATCGCCGAGGAGAAATTCGCCCAAAAGGAGTGGACAGAAGAGGGCATCGCCCCAAGGGGAGAGACGAGACTCGAAAAAAGAGAAGAGAGATGAGTGGCAGAGGAGGCCAATGTTTTTTCAAAGGCAAAGATACCACACTTTTACGCCCTTGAGGAAAGATATGACAGAGGTCCTCGAGGCCATGGAGCAGAAGACGCCAAGCGAGGATGTGACTTGGCCAAAGACAAGGTTTACAGGCCCGATTCGACCTAGGTCGGACATTTACTGTCGTTTTCATCGAGATTACAGTCATACCACGGAGAACTGTAGACATTTGAAGGATGAGATCGAGAGGTTGATTCGAGCGGGATATTTGAAGGAATTTGTGTATTACGATAGGGTGAAAGGAAATGGAAGGAGAAGGTGCAGAGAGGATTCCGAAGAAAGGAGTGATAGGGATGAGGAAGGAGATGGTCGAGATGGTCGAGATGGTCGAGGGAAGAAGCTGAGGAGGGACGGTGATAACGGAGGGCACGGGAGAAGCCCCGATGAAGAGAGGGATGATTTACATAATTTCTGGAGGGCCAACATATGGTGACTCGAATAGGGCCAGGAAAGAGCATACTCGAGCTGTGAAGAGGAAGAGAGAGGAGGTGGGGATTACGGCTCGCATGCTGGTGATTAGTTTTAAGGCGGAGGATGCTGAAAGAGTGGTCTTACCGCACAACGATGCTTTGGTAATAAACATGGAGGTTGCAGGCTTTGACGTGAAGAGGGTGTTCATCGATACGGGGAGTTCGGTAGACGTGATGTTCTATGATTGTTTTGTGCAAATCAATAAAGAGTTGAATATGGAGTTGAAACCGGTGACCACGGCACTTTATGGTTTTAATTGAGGAGAGGTGATGCCGATGGGCGAGATAAGTTTGCCAGTCACATTGGGAGCAGGAGAGCTGAGGAAGGTGCGCATAGTGAGGTTTGTGGTCGTAGGAGCTAAATCATCGTACAACATCATTATGGGGCGGACGAGCTTGAATGCATTCCAGGCGATCGTATCCACGTACCACATGACGATCAAGTATCCTGTGGGCGAAAACGTAGGGGAGATCGCTGGGGATCAACTCACTTCAAGGAGTTGTTATCAAACTACGGTGAGCAATAACAAACAACTGGCGAAGAGGCAGGCCGAGTCGAAGGAGGAGGAGGTTAATCGACCAGGTGGGTCGAGGTCAAAAGAGGATAAACAGAGAATGGAGAAAGGCAAGGAGAAAGTAGATATCCAGCCAGGAGGAGAAGTCGAGGAAATCCAGATGATTGAGGGGTGCGAGGAAAGGAAATTCCAAATTGGGAAGGACTTGGATGAGCCTATTCGGTCGAGGCTGATCAGTCTAGTAAGGGAGTTCGCTGATATTTTTGCTTATACAACGGAGGAGTTGACGGGGATAAGCGCAGAGGTGATTGAGCATCGATTGAACATCGACCTCGGTGTGAGGCCGGTAAAACAGAAAAGAAGGCACCATGGGGCCGAAATGGATAGGATCATTGAGAAGGAAGTCGAGAAACTATTGGGAGCAGAACATATCAAGGAGATCCAGTTCCCCGAGTGGTTGTCGAATACAATAATTGTGTCGAAGGCCGAGGGAAAATGGAGGATGTGCATTGATTTCCGTGATCTGAACAAAGCATGCCCAAAGGACTTATACCCACTGCCCAGGATCGACCAGCTGGTCGACTCGACGGCAGGGTGCAAATTGCTGAGCTTGATGGATGCCTCCCAGGGATATCACCAAATTCCTTTGGTGAGAGAGGACAGGAAGCGGGTGAGTTTTGTAACGAGTCAAGGAACCTATTGTTACGTGGTCATGCCCTTCGGCCTGAAAAATGCGGGTGCCACGTATCAAAGGTTGGTCGATAAGATCTTTAAAGAGCAGCTAGGGAGGAACATAGAGGTGTATGTGGATGACATGTTGGTGAAAAGCAAGGAGGAGTTGGATCATGTGCGGGATTTAAAAGAGACGTTCTCAACATTACGAAGGTATGGGATGAAATTGAATCCGGCCAAGTGCTCTTTCGGGGTGAGGACGGGGAAATTCTTGGGTTACTTGGTGACCAAGAGAGGCATTGAAGTGAATCCTGAAAAGGTTCGAGCCGTGATAGAGATGAAACTGCCAACGACTGTTAAGGAAGTGCAGATCTTAGCTGGTCGAATTGCGGGGTTGAGTCGTTTCATATCGAAGGTGGCGGAGAAAAGTGGCCCATTATTCAAAACGTTGAAGAAAAGTGCGAAATTTCAATGGACGGAGGAGACGCAGAGGGCATTTGAGGAGTTGCGAGGAGTGTTAGCCAACCTTCCCTTATTGGCTAAACCCGTACAGGGCGAGGAGTTGGTGCTATACATTTCTATTGGGGAGAGGGCTGTAAGTTCGGTATTATTACAAGAAGAAGGGGTAGCACAATTTCCTATTTACTACGTGAGCAGGGTGATGCAAGGGGCGAAGATGAGGTATTCAGAGATCGAGAAGTGTGCTTTGGCAGTGGTCGTAACTGCTCGAAAGTTGAGACCTTATTTCTTGAATCATAAGGTGAAGGTGCGAACAAACATGCCGCTGGGAGAATCACTCGGCCGACCATCGGTCTCTGGTCGGTTGGTGAAATGGGCGGTCGAGTTGAGTGAGTATTATTTATCGTATGAACCGAGGAGGGTCATAAAGGCACAGGTGTTGGCCGACTTTATCCAAGAAGGCACGAAAATCGAGGAGGAGTCGGGAGGAGTATGGCAGTTGTTTGTGGATGGATCAGTGGCACGAAGCGGGGCTAGATTAGGAATTTTCCTTGTCTCTTCTAAGGGCGATTACTTGGAGTTTGCGGCCAAAGTGGGGTTCAAGGTATCCAACAATGAAGCCGAGTATGAGGCAGTGATCAAAGGCTTGAGCCTAGCCAAAGCAGGAGGAGCCCGAAAGTTACAAGTGCATTCTGATTCACAGCTGGTGGTCGGGCAGTTTCAGGAGGGGTTTGAAGTTAAGGAGGACCGGATGCAAAAGTACGTGGATGAGATGAGGAAGATGAAAGAGGAGTTCGATTCATTCGAGTTGATACAGATCCCTCGGGGGGAAAATGGTCGGGCGGACCTGTTATCGAAAATTGCTCAAAGCCTGGTTGACTGCAAGAGCAGAAGTGTCACTTTATTGCATCTTGAAAGGAGTATGGTCGAAGCAGAAGTAGCGGAGATCGAGGAGGTGGAGGATTGGAGAGCCCCGATCTTAAAGGAACTGAAAGAAGGGGAGATAAAAGTGGTGAGGAGATTTTTCGAGCAAGGAGGAATTCTCTACAAGCGATCGTATGCGGGACCGCACCTGCGCTGTGTAACTAAGGAGGAAGGTCGATATGTGCTGAGAGAGATGCACGAGGGATGTTGCAGTGATCATAGTAAGTCAGGGGCCTTGGTTGCAAAGATTTTGAGGGCAGGATAT